ATGGACCTGAAGGTGCACTAACATGCCCACACACACAAAACAAAGAGATAAATTAACATTTTGATAAAAATATACATACATAGCGAATGTCTACTCTATTCACACAGTAACGATAACAATAAGACAAACTAGAACAACATCAGTAAGACTGATAGCGAAAAGCAACACTATTAAGACTAACTATTAGAATAACGGTGAGAATGATAATAGCAATGATAATCATAATAATAACGACAATAATAATTACTATTATTCTTATTGTTAATTACATATATATATATATATAACAACTACAATGAGAAGTAGCTCGAACCAAACCTCGAACACGAATTAGTTGCAATGTCTCTTCGAATGCTGAATAGTAACAAAAGTCAGAACAATGCAAACATAGCAGCAACAGCAGCAATAACCGTAACTGTAGTCATCATAATCATCGTCGTCATCACCATCATCAGACTGTTAGTACAAACGAATTTCTGATTTTGCCGATCTGAATGTTATGTCTTACTTCTACCTTCGAGTCCAAGATGGCCTTCGTAATGATGGCATCCTGAGTGATGAAAGCCCTTGTTCTGACAAGGGGGGGGGGGGGGTGGCTCATGACTCATTACGTGGATCTACATATTCATCACAAGGCAGCAGTCCATCTGCACTAAGCACGGTGCTCACGCTGATTCAGCTGCGGCGTGGCCAGCCTCGTAGCTGCAAGGTGTGAAGGGGTTTGATGCTGCGTCTTCACTTGCCTACGCTCTGGGGATTCGATGCGAAGGGCCGCGAAGGGACGGTCATGCACCATCTGCCATTTGTGGAGCATCTTGAGAGTCTGCATTGCACGTTGAGCAGCCACGATACTTGCATATCAGGTCTTGTTCCGGACCTGTGCTTCCTTGCTTGGTTATCGCGGAGACCGACAAATAAATAAATAAATAAATATATATATATATACATATATATGTATATATATATATATACTATATATATATATATATAGTCTTGTAGTCACCATCAGCAGGCTGCAAGAGATTCTCCCGAGTGCTGGCAAACAGCATCTGTTTCTTTAGATCTGTTGCTCAACTCGAACGACAAGCACTTGGCTGGAAACTCATCACGAGAGGCTGCTCTGGGAAACCGGCACGGTCGGGCAGAAGAGCCTTTTTCCTGAGTTGCTTGCAAAGTGAATACACTAACAGGGCAAGACTGCAATCTTAACGAATCATCCGAGAAATGCACCACGCCACTATTTACCACCTAGCTGAACCCTGACGACCGACCCTCTGCCACGCATAAGCCTGCGGCTGAACCTGTTAGGAACTGTGCGAACAGCCGCAAACGTTCGTGTCCCAGGCTGAACACGAGACGTGGCCGAACACCCGAAATGTCTCAGCTCTGAAGACCTATAGTGATATTCTGCCATAGGATGAGCACCAAAAGTAACTCCAGGGCTCGTAGATTGGTCCAGGTCTGTGGCGTCCAAGGGAGCCCTGTGACCTCAACAAGGCAAAGCAAGCAGGTGCTACTAGTACCGCACCCCAGAATGAACAATTGCTTCTCCCTCGCCCTGCCGTGCAGCAGAAGAAACCACTCCCAGTCAGAGGCAGGTACCTCTCGCTGGACGATCTGGGTCAATTTAGAGATCATCTCCTGTACAGGCGGAAGTTGCATGACGTGCATGGCAGTGATTCTGTAGGCAGGACGAGAAATATTCATCACCGCTTTCACTACTACCAGGTACTACCATCCTGGAAGTTATCGTCCTAGCTACTCTCGGCAGTATGGTGACTATGATGACTACTGATACTGTCAGCCTAGAACTCCTACAGGCCAGCGAACAAACGAGTCACCAAGACTTGCTAGCCAAAGCCAAACCCCGCTAGACGGATTCGGGGTGAGTCGCGCAGGATCCTTTGCCGAGAGTTGTCAGAACCGATTTGTCATCGACACATCCAGGATGCGCGGCATCTCTCATGAGTGGCATCAAACTTGCCCCTTGATGCAGGAAGAAGCCCTTAATTTGCAATAAGATGATCAATGTGCCCTGTGCGTCTACCTATCCGTATCTCTCTCTGACCCAACCTCTCATTTGCATCCTTGTGGTCCCTCTTCGTGAGGACGCATTACACACGTCAGCTCAGCAACCAATGCCGTGTATTCCATCATTATCGGATAGAATGCTGACATTGTCTAACCTACCAGGCCTGCGACCCTCATCGCCGAACGCCTGCGACCCTCATCCCCGAACCGATCTTGGAAACCTTGTGCCAGCCGAATCATCCGGAATGAGCCTGGCTGTACTGCGCAAGAAGTCTTTGTTCGGGTGGAAAGGCTTCGACCTCGGCCGCATCTCGACGATGCATGACATCGCAAGTCAAGATCTAGCAAGGCTTCAGCCCAAGGAGATCTCCGAATTCGCCAACCAATGCTCTGCTTACCATCTGTGCTTTAATTCCAAGTCCCAGTTCATGAAACGAACCATATAACATAGCGGCCTTAATAATTAGAATAGGGTTTCGGGGTATATTGTACTATACTTGCAATAAGGAATCCCCGAAAGCCTATTCTCATTCTTAAGGCCCCGATCATCACCTGCAGTAGTAGGGCAGGGCTCCCAGCCGGGTCACTTACTGCACACCGACCGGGGGCAGGACGATCATCCGGTAGATGGCATGAACCATGACCTCACTTGGAGGTTCATGGGTAGTTATAAACGGGTTTTTAAGTAGGGTAACTGTACTTGTAGCCCATTTTAGGGACTTATAACCCCATGAACTACTGTAGTGAGTACGGTAATTAATCTGGGTAAGCGCAGGGGCTTCTTCTGTAAGGGGGCATGCTGGCTACCAGAATATCACGGCGGATATTTCAGGAACCAGCCTCAGCACGATGAAACGGAACCCACACGTACTGCAGCAAGTGAAGCAGCGCCCACTGCATCCACTGCACAACGACTACAGGAGCAGCTGCTACAGCAGCAAGGGCGACACTACTACCAGCAACACCCCTACATCATCTTAGTCCCAGATTCAAAAACCGAGACCGACCCAAGAACTCTACCCGGGTCTCCAAGGTCGCAACTGCCGGGATAGCCTCCTGGAGCCAGTCCTCCATGGCTTTGCGTGGGCTCTTTAAGTTACGGTGACAAACTTTTAAATAAGCGCAGTTTTAAAGACCTAAACAGATATTTTATACTACCTCCGTTGGCTTCGCATCCGGCCTGCCAAGCCTATCTTAAACAAGCGGAGCCCCCTCCACCCCTCCACCCCGCCCCTCCGTAGTACGGTTTACACCCTCACAACTCGGACAAGCCAGGCGAGCTCTGTCGGGCACAAGTCAGCACGGTTTAGGGTCCTTTATTCTCTCCAAACTGTTTCAGGCTTAGCCGGGACTCCGGCCTACACCACCAGGAAAATTTCTGTCAAACACGCTGCTAGAAGTAAAGAAGCACAAAATGTTCGGAAGTCAAACCCTAATTACAGTTTTCGAGGTCGGAAGGGAGGCTTGTATTGTGTTTTTCAGAACTCCTCTCTATCAGGGTCTCTAGCACCGCGGTCTCTCGACAGGAGCCCAACGCCAAAGCGATCCAAGATCTCCCCAACCCTCATCCCTTTAGCTTGTGCCTTGTTGCGCCTGTTCCCCTCGCAGATGCCTCAAGGAGCTTCGAATGCCCCAAAGCCATGAAAAGACATATGATGCTTGGGGCTTTTGAGATGTCACACATGCTTTCAGAGCCGAACCCGGATCACGGCGTGAAAGTGTCACGGTCTTGAATCTCTCGTGCTGAAGATGACACCGACTACACGGCTCACCTGCACCTAATGCTATAACGTCGGGATTGTGTGCTTGTGATATTTATTGTATTTTTTGTGCATCAGCTGACAACTGATGACTGAAGCACGCAAAGACCAACGAATACGGCTTCCCTCGAATCAACTGCAGCCGAAAGTTCAGCCAAGCTGCGATCAACCTCCAAGGTTAGGTCGAACCAGCTTTTGGCTAATTGGCACCTGAGCATGGCGGTCCTGCTTTCTGTGATGACAGGCCGAAAGCAAGAAGACGGGAAGCGGTGCTCAACCACAGTATGGAGATAACTGATCTACCCATAGACGCCATAGTGGTTCCTTTTTGGGATTACGTTATAGGATTCTAAATATGAACTCAAAAAAGAACTACTATGGGGCCCATTGGGTAGAGCCGTGCCTTGATTAATTTGTGTTTGTCGTCCATGTCCGTCCATTGAACTGTCTGGCTGCCCCTTTTCCATACCAAGTCTGGGTCTTTTGCCTTGTCACAATGCAGAATGTACTGGGAAGGCATGTTGTCAGTCTCCCCCACCATTCGTATTAATGTAGCGGCCTAAATAATTACCTATATTATTTTGGGGGTTCCTTACTATAATTATAGTATAATGGGCCTGAAAACTATTCTGTATTGAGGCCACTAGATGATCCTCAAAACTCCGAGCCCTGCAGACCGTTTGGCTTCAGGGGCCAGGCGCCGCCAGGTCCAAGACATGCTCGAAGAAGACAAGTACGTACTTTTTTAGGTTCATGGGTAGCTTATAAGTGGGGTTGTAAGTCCCCTGATATGGGTTATGAGTATAGTTACACTATCTTATAACCCCATTTTTAACTACCCATGAACCTCCAAGTAGGCATTCGCTCAAGCGAAACACACCTCCGGCTGCTTCATTCCGTCGTCATCAATTGTAGGCCGTGCCCATCGTGGCCACAAGCTGGAGACTCCCCAAATCAGAGATGATACTCCGCTTGCTTTGTACTGGATTCACCTCGACGGCTTCTCCTTGTTCAAGCTGACGTCCGAAGGAAGGTAGACAGATTCAGAGTGGAGGCAGCCCCGATCTTCCTCCGGCTCTTTGACCCGTGGATCTGCGCTGGAGATGGGTTCTGCTTCGGCAACGCATCTTCCCGGAACCAGCAGGACTTTCCACAAACAGTGGCTCACCATCGCAGCAGGAGGTGGCGACCAGGGACCCTCGCACTGCGTCAGCTCGAAGGTGCGAAGCTCCCCTCCAGGCTCAGCTGCCGCCGCCGCTCGTACAGGGCAATGACAACCTTGGGCGAGAAATCGCGGGTTCAATTGCAAGATAAAGAACTTGTTGATCAGCGTTCACACACGGCCTGCAAAAGCTGTTTGGGTTTGGGTTTCTGGTAGCAAAGTCAAGACGTCACGCTAGAGGATTCCGGATCCCAGATTGTTTCGGTGTCTCGTTAGTGCATCAAAGTTTTTTGTTGTCAGCAACGTCTTAAGGTCCGAAGGGACCTGGCCAACGAACAGAAGCCGAGTTCATATCGGATTCAAAAAACAAGGGCGAGGAAAGCTTGGTGGAACTGGAGACTTGTCTCTGCCCATCGCAAAGGTTCAGGACTACAGTGCAAACGCCTCTGAAACCACAGATCCAGAAAGTCCCATGCAAGTTCAAGACCAAATAGCGACCTGTTTGATTCCGCCGGCGACTAACGGAGAAGATGGCGACAAGATCTCTCAAGGCTGCGCCGGTCTCTGGGCGAAAAGCCAGCCCATCGATGTCACACGAAAACACTACTGCAAACCCGCACGAATAGGCCAAGACGCTGCGTGTGCCAAGTTCAGGGACGGGGTATGGCTCCTCAGTCATCCGGCAGAAAAGATCTAACGGTGAGCCTCCAAATCGCTATTCGACTCGCTTGCCATTGACCGTGCCCTATGGGTGGTGCAGTTGAAAGCCTACTAGACAGCCTAAACCCAACAGTTAGGTCGACGCAAGCCCGAAGCTCGAAGCACTCGGTCCACTGACCAAAGTTTCAATTCTGCAGCTTTCGTTCTCCAACAGCTCTTGACACCATCTGTTAATAATTATAGGGCTTAAACCCTATATAGATTTACCCGAAAACCCTATAAACCCTCTGAGCCGTAACACTCTCAAAAAGGGCCCTAGAGTTGCACACCCTGATAATCCATCCCTAAACCTATACTGAACTTAGACCCCTAGCAAAAATTATAATTTTAGCTGCTTCTTAGGGTTTATAGTAACCAAAGATTAAAAAAATATTCCTAAGTGCCCCTAAGAAACCCTAAACCCTCAAGAGTTAGGTTGAATCGTCAAGGCACTCTTGCCCCAGCTCCAACCGTTCGGATTTGGTGCCGGCCATATCAAAGTTCAGGGCAGGGATGTGGCACTGCTGGTCCTTACAACTGCTCGTCTTTTGCATTCAAGGCCGTTCAAGGCCCTGAATTACTCCGGTCGGACTCAGAAATTGGGGCGTTAGGCAGGCTAAGGGGCTCGAGGTTTGCCGTTTTGGACGTCGGGAGGGCAATTCCCCCATCGAATTCTACAAGGATTGCTGTTCCAGGCTCCACAGAGAAAAAAAACCTCAAAACCACGTACTCGAAACGAGAAAAAACTCTGGGGGAGTTTGGGTGCGAGTGCTGGGCTGACCATGCATAGTTTACAGCGAACGCAAGATCCCGAAGCCTTATTTGTGGATGTGGGTTCAGCTTCTAAAACAGCAGGTCCAGTACCGTCACCAAACGCCGCATTCCGTCTAGATGCATGTGAATGCCCAACACCTGCGGGAAGACATGGGCAAACCTGTGCTCATCGCTCATGCTCCCCACTTCAATGTACGGAGTGTACAATGCATGCTGCTCACATGCCGTTGTTGTCTGTTCGGGCAGCCCACACACATGTCCAGAATCTCGGTCGACAGCGACTGAGCCTGCTGACGCAGAGGCAGAACATCTTCACATCTTCTTCGTCAGCAAGCTGAGAAAAATTGGAGGGACCATGGCATGCAGCAGGAAGAACTACGAGAAGAGACATAACATGATGCCCTGCAGTGCTCCTGTTGCATTCATGGGGCGGCACTGTTCGGACGTCGCTTTGCCAACAAGAACCCTTTATTCCAACTTCACCGCCTGGTGAAAACGCGACTGCTGGTGAAGCCACTGAGAAGCAATCTTCAATGTCGAATCGCCTGAGCAGCCTTCACAATACAAATCACTTGCCCACGCTCTAGAACCCGAACTCTCTCAACTGACCGGCCCCAACTGCCCGCCATGGCTTGCCTCGCCACCAGCCACGAAGCACAGCTTCGAGTGAGACAAGGGCGAAGACCAAAGGGGAAGGCTCGGAACCGAGCAAGCCTGACGGGAGCCATGGCCCCGCTTGTATCCGGGCTTTTTCACTGGCGGCGAGGAACGGGAACAGTTCATGTAAGTACGAAGCACATGCAAGAGTTGCAAGACTTCCGTTCAATTGAGATGTCGTCTCAACACCCTGCTACCTGTAAGTCCAGCGCGGCATGTTCACGGCGGTCTTTGTCGCTGAGATGGTACAACATGACATAATGCTTTGCCATGTTTCGAAGGCGCATACCAGCAGACGCACGCACCGCCCTTGAACGATGATTGCCTCCAAATTCTCCAAACCAACGAGATGGTAGCCTCGCAAGCACAACTACAAACGGACCAGTTGATGCTGGTGGGGAGGTGCAGTTACGGGTTTGGGGGTTGGGGGGGATCTTAGAAAAGGATTCAGGGTCTCGGACGTCGGGGTCAGTAGTCTTGACAGTCTTGATCCTCAGAGCTTAGAATCAAGCCATCCACGTTCACATGTACAGGCTGGGCTTGCTGACCATTCATTCATGCAGATCTTTCGATGCGTGGCATCGGCATAGTGGCTCTCCAGGATGTTTCCATGTTGGTTGTTGCAGGCAGTTGGCACTGTCACTGTCGTTGACTTTCAGGGCTTGGGGTGTCAATGGTTTGCTTTTGTTGCAAGATTGTGGTCCTATGATGTCTAAACGTCTCTCTGTTTTGCGGCGAATGCCAGATGGTGCACCACTGCTAGACTGCGCCATGTGCCAGTCTGTGATATCAATATGATAGATACCCCAAAGGGTCTAAGTACCCATACAGTAGATATTTTGGGCCCCAAAGTACCTACCATAGAAGTACTTTGACCCTTTGGATACTGTATTCTGTATTCTAAACAGCCATGTCCCGGATGGCCTCTACCGTTCTGCCCTCTCCACTGTGCTCTCTGAAGGCACTGAGTCGAAACACGCCAAAAAAAGGCCGGCCCAAATTCCTCCCTGTCTCCACGCGGATCCAAGGCTCGCCACGAATCCCCACACTATAGCATAAATAAGGGCCCCAACCCTTCAACTTGAAAACGCTCAGACTAAAAGGTTCTCGGCTCGGAACATAATAGAAAACAACTCCGCGCCTGCACGCTGAAGCTCCCGAAGTGCAGGCCGCGGATCACCCGGTGACACGACGAGGCGGGCAGCACCACGTCTGAGGGCTTGCCTTCCGTGCAAAGCGCGGGAGCTCGGCTGAAGCTCAGTAAGCAGGTTCTTGTAGTAAGCAGTGGTAAAGCTCCTTTTGGCTTAGTAAGCACAACACGAGGAAGCCATGAACCGACGCTGCTGCCAGAATAGGTTGGCAAGAAGCTTTCAAACTAAGGGCTGGTGGAAGCCGAATAGCCCAGAATCCTCCAACCTCGCTGGCAGCAGACAATATGGGGGTTTCCAAGAATAGGGGACCCTGATATAGCACCCTAAATAGTAGGATCCTTATTATAACCCCAAAATAAGGTACCCCTAATTTTCGGAAACTCCCATATTGACAGATCTTCATGAGAGTCACGAAGCGACAACAACAACTATCGGAGCATCGGGCCAGTTAGGGACTTCAAAGGACCAGTTAGGCACTTTAACCCTAAACCCTAAACCCTAAACCCTAAATCCTAAACCCTAAACCCTAAACCCTAAACCCTAAACAGGGTTTAGGGTTTAGGGTTTAGGGTTTAGGGACTGCATATTAAATTCCTGGAAGACAGGTGTGACATCGGCCACCTCTTAAGCTCCAAAGCCACATCGACAGCCACAGTCTCCTCATGCCTTCAGAGATCCTCAGAGGAAACTATCTTTGCGGGTTCCTCATTCTAAATGTAGTATAACATAATAGCATACCCCAAAGCCCTGCTCCAATTATTAAGGTTAAGGTCCCTATGTTAAAGCTTCATAGCCACACAAAAGCAGCGGACAGTCGTGCCGAACTGCTTGGCCGGCCTGTCTGCAAGCGAAATGCGAACCACGTTCTTCAGGAACTTCTCAGAAGGAAAGCTTGCCTCAGATTCAAAGCGCTCGGCAGCCGTGTTTTTGAGCACACAAAGGTGAGGCACCGAAAGGGTCCGGTGTGGGAGCCGGTCATGTCGAACAAGATGGCGACTGCCAAACACCGCCTTCGAGCAGTCCGAGACGGATTCTCAATCGCTGATCCAAGCCCCCGAGCCCAAGCCCAGAACCACACAGAACAGACATCGCACCCAAAACAAAGTTACAACGAACAGACGGACCTCAGGCAAAAACCTGAAAGGATGAAGTACCTTCTGGACCTCACTCAATGAAAACAACGTGGCTTTCCGCGGCCGTTGCTTCTGAAATGCACTGCCGCCGAGGAACACTTCTTTCTGAGTGCGGTGATGACTTTGAGGAGGCCAGCAAGACCTGGGAACTCAAACCAACTTTGCCTACCAATCGATTAGCCATCTACATGCCTATCTTGCTGCATATCTGCTCGCCGGTGTCTCAGTGTCTTGTCTGCGGTTGATCCGTGTTTATATATATATATATATACACGTTTCTTTTTTATTTATTTATTTATGATATATGTATACATATTGTATATATATATATATATATACATCTAGATATCTATATATGTATGTATGTATATATATATATATACTTATTTATTTATTTGTTTACACCTGCCTATGCCTCCAAGCCTTGAAGCCTTCAGCCAGTTGTTTCGGAATGAAGCAGCAGCATACAATTTGGCACTTGCGCGGAAACCCATGCTGTACCCAAGTCTCAACGACAACCGTGCAAATGCACTCGAGTGCAGTGCTGGACTTTAACTTTGCGACTGTCTTCTGGGAAACAAAACACAAAGTACCCGGGAGGAGCGCCGCCGCAAGCACGTCGGAAGGTGACTGCAGCACCGCCGCCTGCAGAAAAACAAAACCATTGGCTGTGCGATGCTGTGCGTCCGACACCGACGCTCGGCCCAAAACACGGGAGGAGCCCCCGAAAACCTGCAGATAAACCTAAAACCCGTCTCGCTTCCACAAAATGATCAGTTGCCAAATCTCTGCTTTGGCCACTCGATACTGTAGTGGCAACAATGACGACAAGAGCAGCGGTAGCAGCCGTCGCTGTAGCGGCAGTAGGATAAAAGCAGGTGCAGCAGCAGTACAGTTGCACAAAAACCTCAATGACCTCTAGCTTCAGAGTTCTTTGGCCCCGCATGTATCGCAACTGATCTCGGACTGTCCTGGCGCAAAACGGAGCCCACGTTGGAGGCGTACTGCGGGCCATCAATAAGAACACCTCAACTTTGCACGGAACCGAATATTGCATGTGCGCGGTGGGACAGCGTTATGGCTCCGAAAAGATGGTGGTCATGCCGAGAATGGCGGCCAAGAATAGAGGAATGCACAGTTGCTGTTGATGGTGGCAGTGAGAGCCATGACACAAGTGAAGACAGAGATGGAGACGACGATGTCGATGGGCGAGCGGCTGGGGCAGCGCTATCGATCCGTCTACTTTTGCTGCCTGCAGACACGTCTGTGTGCCCCTCGGCGCTCGCTGAATCTGTGCCAGAAGCTCCTGCAGCAGCGGAAGTTATGATTTCAAGGAAGCTTTAATGCTGAGAGCTCCATGCCCGGTTCGGCTTGATGACCTTGCCTGCCATCCATCGGAAACTCGTTGCAGACCCGAGGACGACATGAACACAAAGAGGGGGCATGGATACCTTCGATGTAAGTCTAAGTGCATGGAGAAGATTGGCCAACACGGAGGCTGCTAAACCCTAAACCTTATAAACCCCAAACCCCTAAACCCTGAAACCTGAACCCTATAACCCCTAAACCCTAAACCCAACCCAGGCCTCCAAGGACCAGCGATGATCCCGACGAAGTTGCGCAAGACGGCTTTCAGCGGACTGCACCTGCAGTGGGAGACCGCTCTGTGGACGAGCCCCATACCCAAAGAACCCAATACCCCTTAATTAAGGAATATACCTTAAACTATAGGGGCCCTAATATCATGATTTAAGATATATTCCTTAAATAAGGGGTACTGGCTTCTCTGGGTATCTTTCCTCAACACTCCAGGTACCTACTATATAGGGCCCTAGGGGCTCTAGTACCCTATATAGTAACTTAGTAGGTACCTGGGGGGTCAGGGCTTCTTAGTGCGACCCGACTTTTCAAGCTCAGAATGCACACATCTGCCCCTGCAGATAGCTCCTGCACATTCCCGGGACCGGGACGAATATGACATCTCTAGAAATCCAACGAGGCGCGGAGGCAAAGCCCGGAGGAAGATGCGGCCAGGCGCCTGATTGAAAGGCGCTGCGCCAAGTGAACCGGAACTCAGCTTGCAAAAAGCACCACAGGCTCGCAGCATTACAGCGTGATTGATGCCTTACCCTAACCCCCCAGGTACCTACTACATAGGGCCCTGGGGGCTCTAGTACCCTATATAGTAGGTACCGGGGAAAAATTAGGGTTAGGCTTATGGATAGTTGGATCCTTTGCTTGGGGAATGCCTGGAACCCCGAGCTCCTGAAGAAGTTGCGAGGATCTGATTTCGACTAACACGGCTATGACGGATACGATAAGAGAGAGAGGGTTTAGGGTTTAATATTTAAGGTTTAGGGTTTAGGGTTTAGGAGAGAGAGAGAGAGAGAGGGTTTTTTTCCCTCTCGCATTGCAGAGAACGAGAGAGAGGGTTTAGGATTTAGGGCTTTTTTCCCACCCACTTCGGTTAGGGTCTTGGGTTCATAAGGTTTTTTTTCCCTCTCGCAAGGGTTTAGG